TTCAGAATCAAGCCTACAACAACCTAACCAGAGACATGCTTGACTTATCAAGCTTAATTAGATATACATATACATATACATATATATGTATTATGTATACGTATGTGTATATGTGTACATATAGGTTGCGTCACTTGGTAAGGCAAACTTTTACAGCGGATTAGGGGGGCTAAAATTCCAGTCTCTTTCAACCATGATATTATTGAGTTTATCCAGTCGTCACCATAACTTGGAGGATTCCAGCTTAATGCCTTGTATTCATGATTTGTGTTTGTCCAATATAATCAACCGAAGTTGGATTCCAGCTTAACCAACTCTCCAAGTAGTTGTGATTTCTATATAAATAGATTGTTTATGTCAATCTGTTACGATTTTTGCTACACCTTATATCTCATTTTAAGAAGGGATGTTCATATTTAAAGAAAAATGATCTTTGAATCAAAAGATAATAATAATTTTGTCGTACATATTGTCTGAACAAAAAAAAATTATGATGAAATATATATAAATATTATCGTCGGACAAATTGTTAATTCTAAAAAATTTAGATAGTTAAACAATTTATATATAAGTGAATAAAGTAGAACACAATAAAAATTCGAATAATCAACTTTTTTAAGTTAAAGAAGACTTGAAGTGCCCATGAGAAGACACAACAAGAAAACTCGAGTACAAGAGATATAATTTTATTACGCAGCTTGGCGCACCTCTATGCTGCAACGCAGACTAGTTACTAGCTAAGATTAGAAAAAGCGCTAGAAAGTACATGAACTACCTTATAGGTTCATGTCTTCCACCATTTTATCCTTGAGAATAAGTTGTTTATGATCTTAATCTTCAATTGTACCATTCATTACTTGATTCACCATATAGAATAGTAGGGGGAGGGAAGGTATATGATCATCCTATAAATTTTGAAAAACATTGAAAAAATAAGCATCATTCAATAATAATAAAAGACATGTCAAAATATTGAATTACTCGAACCTACAAATGAAAACATGCGGCAGTGCCCTGTTAAGGAATTGAATTATATAGGTGACTTGCGTATGTGTGTGTAAATATGTATTAGAAAAAATCATGACATAATTTTATTAAGAAGAATTTATTTTTTAATACATTATTCAAAATAAAATATTTCTAAGTCTTATTCAAATCAATTCCAACTTGAAGGATGAAGTCTTAAATATAGAATATAACAAAACTAAATTAGTTTAAGTGCATGATTGTTTGAATATAATTCGGTGTAATCACTTAGTAAGACATTCAAATATTTTAATGAATTAAAATGAGTATTTACAATTTAGGCTCGTGTGAACGGGAATAAATCTAATGGTTAATTCTTCTACTCATACGAGGGTGCAAAAGATGTTTGAATTACTTGCATGGGTAATATGACATGGAGTTACTATTTATCATCTAGTACTCCTTTTTGCATGTTGTATGACTTAATGCATAATCTTTTTTTTCTTTCACATATTTTGTAATGTAATAATTTCGGAGGTTTCAAGTGAGCTTTCAGTCCAATCTTTTAACTTACATGTATGATTTTTATGTTTTTAAACTAACTCTTTTACAAGATTAATTTATATATTTTTCTTGGTTGTTTATCGAGAATAATACTTGACTTTTTTTTTTCGTCCGTTAGACTTCTTATAACTTTAATAGTTTCGGATGATTCTGTCTGATTTATCTTTAAGATAGATTATTTTTATATCATAGTTATGTAGTTATTATATGTGTTATATTTCTTACTACTTCAGGTTACCATTTTCATCTTATCAAGACGTGTATTTTTTGACATTATTTTGTTAATGCTCTTGACAATAATGAACATAAAATTTTGTAATTCTTTGTTTTAACCAATCCTTATGTTCTAAAATTTTATTAGCAAGATTTTGAGTAAATTTGCTGTGGATTTACATTTAATTTAAGTAAAATATTTTAAAATTTCTCTAAAAAATTGCTAAAATCTTAATTTCATATAACTAAATTTTTACTTTTATTGTTAAAGAATAAAAACCTGATCACAATATGAAAATTTAAAATTTCTGTAAAAATTAAACTAAGATTGAGTCATTACATAATTTTTTTTTCTAAAATTAAAATATTTATATTCAATAAAATAATTGAATTCTTAAAATAAATTAAAAATGATAATATTGTTTAAATAATTATTATTTCATGAAATTTTTTATTATTCCAGATTTTATCATTAATTCTATAATTATTATTTAAGATAATCTCATTATTTATATGAAAATTATTTTTTAAAATAAATTTTATTAAATACTATATGAATTTCATCTTCAAAACTATTTCTATAATAACATTTTTCGTAGCTCAGGACAAGCACCTGCCTGATTCCTCAACTTAATTAAAGATAATAACTCTCCTTATGAATATCCACAACCTAAAGAAAGCACAAGTTCACTAGCCAGCCTTTACGTGTGTGTATATATATATATATATATATATATATATATATATATATATGCGTTATGATTAGAATGAGGTGTCCTAATCATGAATCTCATAAGCACTTTTGCTGCCACTAATATATATATATACACACACACACACAATTACATATAAATGGATCCTGAGTTCCAATATGACTTAGTTTAAAGCTTAATTTATTTTTTAGTGATGATTAGTGCTGATGACAACTTAATAATTGCTGCAATTTACTTCCTCACAAATTAATAATTTTCTGCTCTGTTAATTAAATTTGGTTTGTTTACTGGTATAATCTAAATATGTAATCATGCTTTTAGTATATCTACATATTATATATATTGATGTATGTACTAATGTAGCACATGATGAACACCACCTGCATATCATGTGGATAGTGTGCTTCTTTTTTTTTTCCATGTTACTCCAGATTTTATACAACATTCAGAGTATTTGGGCCTATACAAAAAGGCAAGTGATCATTATATAATATATATATATACACACACACACATATATATATATATATATAGGACCCGTAAGTGGATGTTTGGTTAAAGCTTGAACTTTCTGTATTTGGGATTTAATAAAAGATCCCTTAATGACTCTATGATTGGGATTTAAATTATTCATCTAATTAACACAATAATATTTATATAATCTCTCTTTGTTTTACTAATAGTAATAATAATCTAGTCTCAAGAAATTGTTCAAAAATTAAAAAAATTATTCGGACAAAATTATGGTATTTGAAGAACATATACGTATAACTAATTGAAAAACATAAGAGAAGCTAAAGAATGTGAACTTGTGATGGCCATGGCCATGCATACAGTCCTACGTAGCTTCACTTGTTATTGGAGTGGTTACATCTTCCATTATCAAACTACTATCTTTACTTCTTTAAGAAGTCAATATATATATATATATATATAATAAATAAATAGATAAAAGTAATACATTTTTAACATGTGTTTGAAGTGAATTTTAATAAGATGAAAGATTTATTTGCTTGCTCCTGTCAACAATAGTAAAAGAAAGTAAAGGATCTTGAGTCTACCAAGAAATGTTATTGTTCTTCATAATAAAATTTTGTCGATAAAAGTGATATCTACAAAGTTTGAAAAAAGTGATGTTTCTCTATTTTACGAGTCATTACATTACATTGTCTCCTAACCCATTTAATTGATATATCTTGTTTCTCTTCTAACAAAATACGATAATCTGTAACAATGAAATCGAATTCTGAACGATTCTGCTCTCTAGCTGTCAACGCTCTCTAGACTTTACTGGGCATCAACTTTTACAATTTCTGGTCTTTGAAAGTTTTGCACTATAAGTTGCAGAGCTCGACGGCACCCCAACAGTTCGAGCAGATACGGCGATCTATACCTTATAATCCGACCATAGAATGCAGACAGTACTTGATCTGATCTTGTATAACTATTCCATAACCACTATATTCATTTAATTATCTTACTGGTTTAAGAATAATTTAAAAATCATTGTATGTTGGTAGATTTATGTTATGTTTGACTTCGAATGAGATTCTCAAAAATTGTTATCAAGATATCTCGAGATATTTGGATTAATCACTTGCATCTATATTTAAAGTTTCGCTAAGTATTATATGGGCCAACTACATTAATTAAACTGCCAAAATTCTTTCCAATATTTTTCTTCCTAACTTTCTTTTCTTTGAGTGGTTGTAAAGTCGATTACATGATTATTTGGTAAGCAATGACGATTCACCCTTGTCCGCATTTTTGCAATTGCACCACATGATTCACGCAGCAGTACCGTGTGACTAATTAAGTTGATTCAATTATTAACTAACTCCTGATTAAGCACTAATCACTTTAATTATTTACGAATGTCAATACATCATTGGTGAACTACTACTTCAACAAACCATATTTTAACATTAAATACAATACAATATATATATATATATAGAGTATATGTTTGCATAAATTAATCATTTTTTAATAAAAACTTACATATTTTATTAATTAATTAACATACTTGTTAATTTTAGGCACACAAGATACACTGTATAGGATTCAAACCTATGCCCGAATTGTTTTTTGAAAAAAAAAAATTAATTATTATTATTTTAACAGTTAAATGGGTATTGATATATATATATATAATTAATCAATGAGTTGAACGATGTTTTAATTAATAAGTAATTTGTTGGTTTAATTTACAAACATATGTATTGATTGCTTGAGATGTCACCTTCACCCATCTCAGCTAATGATAGTTTTGTGATTATATTATCTACTAAAACAATTGATTTCTTCTATTTGATGTTAGCTACCAAGAAATATGATTCCTAAACACAGGCCAAATTCGAATATATTTATTTATTGGAATGCGATAGTAAGAACTTAATTCTACATCTTATTAATCTTTTGAAAAACACCATTCAAAGACTTCACAGCTTTAATTTAGATTTGAAAAAAGAAAACAGACGAACACAATTTGTAAGCTAATAAATAAGCCAAGGGAAGACAATTACCAGTTAAAAAGAAATGACATTCAAACGAAAAGACCTTCTTTGAAAACTCTTGATTATCAATTTCTATGTTGTTCGAACCCCAACTAATAATATTTACATCTCTCTTTTCCATTCAACCAATTATTCAGAAAACATGTTACCATCTTCCTCTCCGTCAACAAATACTACCATACCACCATCAACATTTTCAATCATACATATAATTATATTATCATTGATAATTTCAATCAATGATTTCTCCCTCTTCTGTTTCTCCCCCGGGCCTACCTATTTCCTCGTCAATAAGCTCCTCTCTCTTAACAAACTGACCAGCAGCTTGTTCAACTCGAGCACTACCTTCATCATTGCTAGCATCTTTGTCATGAACGCCGACATCTTCAGAATCGACTACATTCTCAAGTACAATCTTCTTGCTGCTGTCAGAAACGTCTTCTCCGATGGTGCACGTTGATTTCTCCTCACAACCACTTTCTTTAACTACAACTTTAGGAAATTTAAGAAGCTTGTCAGGGCCATCTTTGAAGAACGAGTTCATCACCACGAACCTAAACACCTGCAACAAGTGGCATCTCTCTCTTTTTACGTCTGCACTCAGAAGCTTCTGCAAAAGTGTGGGCTCTCTCTTATTTAAACAAGAATTGTTCGATGGATTTCTTAGTCTTTCTTGCTTGGCAGACTTGTCATTTTTGTTATTTCTCCCCCTTATATCTTGTTTGTTTTTTGATTCTTTCCTCTTAGTTAATGCCCTACCATTCTTGTTCCCTCTGCCCCCTTGCTTCTCTGAATCTGAAAAATAATGTGACGGTACCTCTGCAACTTCAACACCTAACTCAGCCTGCTTAGACAAGATCTCCTTGAGTTGCTGCAAACAAATTTTGCAATCCTCTTAAATATTATTTGAAGAGACAAATAATATATATATATATATATAGGTAGAATACAAGAAGTGATCATTGCATAAGGACCAAACCAAAATTGAAATTTTATATAACCTTGTAAACATAAATCCTAATCACGTTACTTCTATTGAAGAAGAAAATATATTTACAAACTGGTGAACTATTATTCTTTTGATTTAAAACAAGAAAGCTTCATCCAAACCAGCAGCAAAGTATGTTACCTAACAGTCACTGCCCATCTTACGTGCCAATAGTCACCAGATTCATTAAGGCTAGTAAGGAGTAAGCAATGATCTTAAGATTGATCTACTTCTAGTAGTCAAGTATGAATTATAGAAATCACGCTTAAAGAATAAATGAAAGGAGTAGAACAAAGTGTTGCTGAGGAGGTCCCACACATGTACAGAGTGCTATCAAACACACAAAGTAAATGAGATCTACAAATTAATCTTGATATTCACAGGAGTTCATCCTGCAAAAGGAGAAATGTTAGGGTAGGAGTTGAAATTTTGGAGATTAGTGTGAGAGAGAGAGCAGTCAATTCTTACTTTTCAGATAGATAGTAGAAGCAACAGAGCTCTAGACCTTTTTTTCCAGGACAAAGTCGGATTCTAGATTCCTAAGGTAAAAGTGAGATAAGGCTTTGAAGAGAAGAGTTTGGGCAAGGCTAAGAACCTGGAAACTAAAGATTGGATGGAGCAACTTACTACATTTCTGAGATTTAGGAAGAAACAGGAGTCCGGAATCTAGAGATTTAAAGTTAGTAAGGCCATGAAGTAATTTCTGCAGGGATTACAGAAGCATCAAAACAACACGTCTGAAGCTATTTGAGAGAAAATATTGCTTCTCATATATTTCCATCATAAATGATATGTATTTATACAATTTAAATGCTAACAAACCTAACAAATTCTAACAAGATCCTAACAATTTTATGGGGAGGAGGAAATCTGTTTATGACTCCCTCCGTATACAAAATCTACAACTAATAAAATAGAAAATATACAACCTGAAAAATACAACTCAATTTCTCCTTATTTTCTACTTAATTATTTCTTATTTTCTACACTCCCCCTCAATCTAATTTATATATGTGTTGAGTAAAGTTAAATTGGATATTATGTCATCGAAGGTTCTTTTAGGTAGAGCTTTCGTTAGAATGTCCGCAATCTGTTGACTGGTTGAAATGTGCATCAGTATTATAGTTCCATTTTCTAACTTCTTTTTGATAAAATGACGATCGATCTCCACATGTTTGGTTCTGTCATGATGTACAGGGTTTTTGATCATACGGATGGTTGATTGATTGTCGCACCACACCTTCATAGGCATGTTGTTAGGAGTCTTTAATTCGACAAGTATTCTCTTTAACCACATACCTTCACATATACCGTGAGCAAATGCCCTAAATTCAGATTCTGCACTGCTGCAAGATACAACTGACAGTTTCTTGCTTCGCCAAGTGACGAGATTCCCCCAAACGTAGAATACTCTTATGTAGATCTTATGTCACTTGTAGAGCCTACCCAATCTGCATCAGTGTAAATTTCAACATCTCTTCTATTTGTCTTTTGAAAGAACAACCCTTATTCTGAAGTTTTTTTAAGATACCTCAGAATTCGATACACAGCTCTCATATATTCCTCAGTTGGCTGATTCATGAACTGACTTACTATAATCACTGCAAAGCTGATGTTATGTCTTGTATGTGCTAGGTAGATAAGCTTCCCAATGAATCTTTGGTACCTCCCTTTGTCAACTGTTTTATCATTGATTTTGGATCCAAGCTTAATGGTTAAATCCATAGAAGTGTCAGCAAGCTTGCTTCCAAACATCTCAGTCTCCTTTAAAAGATCCAGAACATACTTTCGTTGAGATATTGAAATTCTTTTCTTAGATCTAGCCACTTCCACACCAAGAAAGTACTTTAGTATCCCCAAATCCTTAATTTCAAATTTTTGAGCTAGAAATTGCTTGATTTTCTGAGTCTCCTCAACGTGGTCACCTGTAAACATGATGTCATCAACGTATGCAATCAAAATGCCTTTCTTACCTGAAGTGCAATGTTTGATAAATAGTGTATGATCGGATTAACATTGTTCATATCCTTCATGTTTTACAACTCTTGTGAATCTATCAAACCATACCCTTGGAGATTGTTTTAAGTCATAGAGTGATTTCTTCAGTTTATACACTTTCTGAGGATTGTCTGTTAGTTTAAACTCTAACGGTATATTCACATATACTTCTTCCTCTAGATCACCATTAAGAAATGCGTTCTTCACATCTAGTTGACAAAGTGGTCAATCAAGATTAGATGCAAGTGAAAGAAGTACCCGAATAGTATTGTATTGGACTACTAGAGCAAAAGTTTCCTGATAGTCTACTCCATATGACTGAGTATAGCTTTTGGCTAACAGGCGAGCCTTACACCGATTCACAATATTTAGTTGTAAAGATCCATTTGCACCTCACTTGGTGCTTTCCTGGAGGTAGATCAACTAATTTATGTGTTTCATTCTTTTCAAGTGCCTTGATTTCCTTTTGAACAGCTATCTTTCATTCAGGTATTTCCAAAGCTTCATGAATTGTTTTGGGCTATGGTAAACTACTGTCTATCCTGCATATAAAAGCATGATGCTCCGAAAACAGCTTGTCCAAAGAAACATAGTCTTGTATAGGTTGTTTAGTGTATGTCCGAATCCCTTTTCTCAAAGCAATAGGAATATCAATATCAATATCTGAAGTAGGAGCAGAGATTACGTTACCTGGATCAAGGGTGGATTCATTGCCGGGCTTGGATGATTCAGGTGTTTTTCCTCTGTTTCTTCTAGTATAGACACGTAACTACTAGCTGCAGGTAATGTGTTCTCTGTAACTAGCTTTGGTTCAGGTTATAGGGAAAGTTTGTCTGGTAGGAATGACTCTGTGGATATAGAGGAGGTATACTTACATCTCATAACTAATATCCCTGAATAAATGTTTCCCCCTTAATATCGGTTGTGGGGTAAAATGGTTGGTTTTCAAAAAATATAACATCCATTGTATTATAGAAGCGACGGGTTTTCGGAACTAAACACTTGTATCCTTTCTGATTAACAGAGTACCCAACAAAAATGCATTTTATGACTCTTGGGTCAAATTTCCTACGGAGGTGTTTGTGAATATGGACATAAGCTGAACAACCAAAAACTTTGAGTGGTAATGTATTTAAAATATGAGATGCAGAAAAGGTTTGTGAAAGAATCACATAAGGTGATTGAAATTGTAAGATCCGAGAGGGCATCCGATTTATCAGGTAGGTAGCGGAAAGAACTGCCTCTCCCCAGAGAAATTTTGGTATATGAGTGGTAAACATAATTGATCTAACTACCTCAAGAATACGTCTATTTTTTCCTTACGACTATGCCGTTTTGCTTATGGGGTATGAACACAAGAGCTTTGATGAATATTTCCATGTCAGAAAATATTTTTCAATGTGGCTTTAAAATATTTACAAGCATTGTCAGATTTCAACACTTTGATGGTCGCCTAAAATTGAGTTCGAATCATTGTATGGAATTTTTTAAATAGAGATCCAACTTTTGATTTTTCTTTCATGAGAAACACTCACGTAATTCTTGTATGGCCATCAATGAAGGATAAAAACCATCTAATTCCGGTGATGTTAGAGACCTTGAAGGGTCCCCATACATTACTATAAATCAATGTAAATGGTTTTGAAGATTTGTATAGTAAACTAGGGAATGAACTTCAAACATGTTTAGAAAATTGGCATAATTCACACTGAAAAGAAACTGGATCTTTTTCTTTGAATGGTAAAAGGAATATCTTTTTCATGTACATGAAATTTGGATGTCCTAATCTATAGTGCCACAACATGATATCATGGTCATTATTTGCAGAAACAGAAACAGAGTTTGCACATACTACTTTGTGATTTTGTCTTCTAAAAGTGTTGATTTGAAGCAGGTATAATCCTGAGCTCATCCTAGCACTATTAATCGTCCTCTCTGAGTTCAAGTCCTGAAATTCACACATATTAGAGACAAATTTTGCAGTACATTTTAACTCTTCACATAGCTTGCTGACTGATAGTAAATTATAATCCAAATTTGGAATATAGAAAACTGAACTCAGTTAAATTTGGAGATAAATTTACAGAACCCATTCCAGCAACTTTTGAAAGAGAACCATCAGCAATTCTCATTGAAAAAACTTCTTCACATTTGCTGTATTTTTGAAACATTGAGGCATCTCCACTCATATAGTCAGATGCTCCAGAGTCTACTACACACACCTGTCCTTTTTCTGAAAAAATAGATAAACCAAGGATATTACCTTTGTGTGACACGGAGTCACTGACCGGATAGGATTTTTTAGACAAAATACGTTGGAGGGCTTCCAACTGTTCAGGACTGAAGGGACTGCTCTCCACAGCATCAGAGGGCATTTCTTCAGCAATTACGTGGTTGCCCTGATGCTTGCTTGAGGTTTCTGCCTTGGAGGATTTCCACTCATCCGAATGCTTCCAGTCACTCAGCTTGTCATAGAGCTTCCAACAGCGCTCACGAGTGCGCCCTAGCTTCTTACAGTGATCACACCAGGGCCTCGTCTTCTTCGTTTGAGCGTCGACAGCTCGGGTTGTGAGTGCTAAAGAGTTCTCGGCCAGGTGGGTTTGCTCAACATCACCCATCATGACCTTCCTGCGGCTCTCTTCGCGTTGGACTTCAGAACGCCTCCCGAAGACTCGGCAAAGGTTTGGTACTCAGCACGCGTCCCCAAATCTTGTCGAGGCTCCTATTTAACCCCAGCAAGAATTTGAAGACGTGCTTCTCTTCAACGAATGACTTGAAGTTCTTCGCATCTTCGGGGTAGCTCCATCGGCACTCTTCGAAGATATCCATCCGCTGCTAGTTACGAGTTAAGGTGTTATAATACTGAGTGATGCTTAACTCACCTTGCCAAAGATCATGAAGCGCGGACTCTATCTCGAAAATGGCAGAAGTGTTTTCTTTACTAGAATAAAATTCTTGAACTGTTTTCCAGATTTCGTGAGCAATTTCATAGAGTAAGAAATTTTCTCCAATTTCTGGGATCATTGACGTGATGAACCACAACATCACCATGTTGTCTTCAATCTCCCATATGCAAGCGCTTGAGTCAGTTGCTGGAGGAGATACGACTTCGCCAATAAGATGTCCGTAGTGACCTTTCCCCCGGATGAACAATCGAACAGAGGACGACTAATTGTAGATAATTACTGCCGTTGAGTTTATGTCCTGTAATGCAAGACGAAGACATCTCATTCGCAACATTGCTAGTTGCTGTGCGATGATAGGAACCAGAGGAGACCTCTGGAGAAGACAGAAGCTCGCCTGTGGCCATTTGTGATTACGGCTCAGCAGGAATCACTCTTCTTGGATCAGGTAAGACTCTGATATCATGAAACTATTTGAGAGAAAATATTGCTTCTCATATATTTCCATCATGAATGATGTCTATTTATATAACCTAAATGCTAACAAACATAACAAATTCTAACAAAATCCTAACAATTTTATGGGGAGGGGAAAATCTGTTTGACTCCCTCCATATACAGAATCTACAGCTAATAAAACAGAAAATATACAACCTAAAAAATACAACTCAATTTCTCCTTATTTTCTACTTAATTATTCCTTATTTTCTACAACGTCTACCCCCAATCAAGCAAAAAATTAGCATCACTGTCCATCATACTCAGTCCCTATACCATGATCCAAACACACTGGATTTCAGGTGACTATGGTGTATGTAACCGCTCGCCTTTTACAAAGAAAAGAAATAATTCAAAACCTGTTCTATTTAACTCTCTGCTTTTTTACTATTACCCTCCATGAATAAGACAAAAACAAGAGCTTTGTTATTAGAGATCTATCAACCACCACAAAGACCCATAGGCATCTTTGATTCATGTCATGGGATGAAAAGAGAATCTTTTCAACCTTCTTGATGGGTTTTGTTTAATCCTCTTTAACTAATTCTCTCACCTATAACCTAAATAATAGTAAGATGACATATATGATGCCTATATGATGCCCTTGATTAACCTTCTGTTGAAGATAAATATAGAAATTATAATTTATTTAATTATTAGTTTGAATTCAAATAATATTTTATTTTTAATTAAATTTAGTTCATATTTATTTTTTAAATATCATGTTATTAGTAAGAATTTATGTTTTAAGAAAAATAAACATATTCTAAATCTAATTAAAGATAAATCCTATTTGAATTCAAACTAATAAATAAGATAAATTATAATTTCAACATTTATCTTCAACATGTTGAAATTTTTTCTAAGTGAACAAGAAAATTTTGCTAAGGAAACAAATGAAGTCAACAAAAAATTTACAAGATTTGATTTATATTTATCTTTTAAGTAGTAGTATATTATTTTTAGTAAATTTGAACTTGATGTAAACCTATTTAAAGGTACTTTAACTTATTAATTGAGGTGAGTAAAATCAATAAAAATTTAGATTTTCTTCATTTTAGAAAAATCCCAATAAATGGTATCAGAGCCTTTATTAGTTATGATTATGTGAAAAATAATATAGAAAGAATGGGCAATGAGAAAAAGAAAAAAAAAAAAACCATGGAGGGAGTCTTCATTACCACAATATCAAACAAGTATTCATCAACATCAAAGAAAATAAAATTTCCACCATGCGGAATATGCAAGAAAATAATCATGATGAAAAAGATTGTTAGCATAAACATAAATCACAATACTTTTATTGTAAAAGATTTGGACAGATACAAAAAAAATTGCAAGTTGAAAAATAAGCAAACAAATATTGTTGAAGAAGAAGAAGAAACTCTTCTTTAAAATTTGGAGAAAAGTACTCCAAACGATTTTGATGAGAAATGTATCAAATAATTGAAATTGATGATAAGTGTATCAATAATCAGAGATTGGTGAGAAGTGTATCAACAATTGAAAAGAAATACTTCAGAAAATGAAGATTAAACAAGAAATATTGAAGAGAAATATTTCAACAAAATAAATTTGGTGATTATAATTTCTACATTAAAAGTGAATGTTGAAGATAAATGTAGAAATTATAATTTATTTTATTTATTAATTTGAATTCAAATAAAATTTATCTTTACTTAAATTTATAATATGTTTATTTTTAAAAAATCATGTTATTAGTAAAAGTTTATCTTTTAAAAAATTTAATTTATATTTATCTTTTAAATAATGGTAAATTATTTTTAAAAAATTTGAATTTGATGTAAACCTATTTAAAGGCATTTTAAATTGTTAGTTTTAGGGTGAGTAAAGTAAATGAAAATTTAAGTTTTCTTCATCCTGGAAAAATCCCAACACCTTCTAGGTGGATTTTGTCCAACCCTCACTGAATAATAGTAAGATGACATATACGATGCCCTTGATTAACCTTCTAGATGGATTTGTCCAACTCTTACACCTGCAACCCCATCAATACACATTGTACTTGGAGCCTTGAGCTTTAAAGATAATATACATTGTAAATCTTCTTTTACTTTCTCACCTGGAACCCATCAATGCCTTATCCCGAAACTTTTTAAAAGTGAAAGTTCCCTCTAAGGTTAGTTCCTTTGCATGGATTACAACATTAAACAAGATTAACATTTATGATGTTCTCCAAAGCCAAAGACCTCATAGAAATTCTTTCTCCATATATTTGTTTAGTATGTTAGCACAGTTTCGGAAGCATAACAACTTGTTTCTCCATTGTCCCATCGTGTGAAAGATATGGTATAGATTGTGTCAATGTACGGGTTGCCCACATAATTTGGAGATCTTTCTCCAATTGTGTGATATTTGGTGAACCAATGAGATTCTCAAGGGAAGGGGGCTTACCTTTGCTAGTTTGTGAATCCCATAGTTTAGTGCCCAAGACTCTCACATGCATAGTAGGCTAATAATAACATGATTGCATGACATCTCAATAGAATTCATTTTGTATTAATTTATACTCACGTGAAACCAAAAATAAGTGAATATTAATTAACTGTTTTAAGTTGCGGGACAGATCATCAATCTTCTCAAAGAGCATGTCCAATGTGCTTTCAAGGTGAGAGATCTTTAAAAAAAAATAATAAAAAGTATAAATTGTATTAATTACATTCACCAAGAAGGTGCAAACCCAAATACAAAAGAATTTATATATCAGTTAGCATATCAATAAGTTCTCCTAAATTCTCCATTGCATACAGTTGTTGCTTCATTATCAAAACATCAAGTGTTTGGAACCATCTTTCTCTAATTCTATTTGGACTCTCCTATTCTTTTATTTCCAAAGAACCCAAAAAATTTCTAATGGAATGAGCTTCAAATGCTTTTTTCTCCTATTAATATCCTTCCACATCCAAACGTCCTCCTTGACATGGCCATCCATGAGCCAATTGTCTCCCAAGATCCCAAGAGCCATAGGAATGTTATATTAGGACTCAACTATGTTTAACGATGAAAGTAGGGAAAATTCAAATTTGCACACATTTCGGTGCAAAACTCAAATATCGATAAGCAGGTCAACTACACACCATTTAAGGTAAAGAGGTTTTTAGTGAAATAAATTTTATGGAAAAATTCACTAATTTCAGGGTGACAAGCGCATGATTAAGACTAACTAGAAATTAAACGAAGTAGTAGACTTAGAACCATTTGATCGATTTAAATTATAGGCAATTGATGGCTTTGATTATTAGACTTTAAACCCTAAACAAACATTAGTTAGTTATCGAAGATTCTAATTGAAGTTTAGGATTTTCGAATTAGGAGGCTAAAAATAGTTTATTCTAGTGTTGTGAAAGTACAATACTTTCTAGTCTAGCTGTGCAATGAATAAACTAGAGGATGTTCCATGTGGTTGGAAAGAACTGCAAAAATTTTTATGATATGATTTAGACTCTCTCTCATGGCTAGAGAAAGATCATTTTCTTTGCTTTTCATTGGGCTAAAAGCATATGATTTCATTTTGCTATGACTTTATCTACTTGCAAAGGGATTGAATTTCCATTTTGCCTTAGAGTTGTGGTTGCCTTCATCTTTTATTTTTTGTATTTCTTTTTTGTTAGAGAATACAAACAAACTCTGTAAAAGATTACTTGATTCTCCTCTTTAAACTCTTTTGACTTCCAGTCTAGTTGTACAAGGAAACATCTCCCAACGAGTTAACCAATCCATTGACTAGGAATAAAAAATTCTACCAATTATGCAAAAAGAATTAGCAAACAGTATTTAGATAAATGTACCTCTCTTCGAATTTTGGCCTCGCTATCACCAGAATCTGCTAGTTTCTTATTGAGCTTCTGTGTGACCAAGTCAGTTATCAGATAACAGTTACAAAAGCAAACTGTAGAATTCAGTCAAAGCAATTAAAGAACCTTCTGAATATTGGCTTTCGATGGATAATTCTTCTTACGTTCTTCACGCCACTGCTGAATTTCCTTCCCCGTATATGGCAAAGCAAGACATCTTGTGTTTAGATTTCAGGAGAGTAGGCACAGGAGCGAGAAGACCCAATTATGTAAAGGATAATTAGTAATAATATAATTTGACACAGGAGGAAAGATGAAGCTAAATAATGATGCCAATCAAAAAGACTGGTTATCGAAAAATATGAGGATGATCATAAGCAATAGTCAATCTGCCAGTTAAATCAACAGTGTAACATAAGTATAACCACAAAAAGAAAGGATTGAGCATTTGTCTTAAAATAAGTTACCTTTCCTTTTTCCAATGACAAGCCAAATTTAAGTCAAATGTCACTTCATGAAATATAATTTCTTTTAAAGAAAAAACAAAGGTATAATAATATATATAAACAGGGCATAAAAAGATGCCAACTAAAATATAAAAACTTTACAAATCAATCAAATTATCAATTAGGTTCACTAAATTCCTCATCATTAGTATGCCAACCAGAATACAAGAATTTACAAACTAGTCAAAATAACAATTAAATCCCACATTTCTCAATTAGCAGAAAACCTTTTCTTTTTGAAATACCAATCCCAGAAAACATTGTGTCTCCAATCACGGAATCTGCTCGTGAATACATTGAATTAAAAGGTGAACTGAAGAATGGATCAACATCAAATTCCATAGCTACTTCTAAAGGTAAGGAAGTTGTTTGCTTTAGATGCGAACAAAGTGGGCACATGAGTTACCAATATTCCAGCAAAAAATAGCTTTCATGTTGGAATGAAAAAAAGGAGGTGCAGGAAAACGATGATGGTTATATATCCTACGAGGATGATGATTTAACTCGTAGTGAACATGTAAGTAACTCTCTTTTTCAAGGTGCATATCATCAGACTCCAAAGTGTAAGAGCAAGAAGAATCACTAAATCTTCCTATTGCTCAAGAACTTTTTCGAAGAGTCATCTCAAGTATGAGCAAGTCTATCAGCAGACAACTGAGAAAAACGTTCCCTTGCATAAAAAACATATTGACATGCTCAGCTTCATGTTCATTCTCAAAGTTGAACATCCAATTTTTGGCTTAGGGGTTCCTCCTTACATTTGACTTTGTAAAACACCTCATGCTTCTTCTTGTTCCTCTGCACCATTAGCCTAATCAAAATTTGATTCTCATGGCTCAAACATTTTAAGAGATTTTTCTATTTCTTATCATTTTAATAAACTATTATTGCCTCTTGTAGATACCAATATTTATGCATCTCTGCTAAAGTTGTAGGCTTCAAAACTACATTATTCCTAACAAGTATAAATAATAAGTATTGATGCTCTCATTATTGATAAACATGTCAATTTGACTGAGAAGAATAAGTATGTATATTTAGGAACTACGTGATATAGGATTCAGTTATTGTAGGTACCATAATGAACATGACAAAATATTGTTGAGTAACTAGAATGTTCAAATTGTCCATCCATGCAAATCTTTATGGTTGTGGATGTGGTTGGGTTAAAAGATTAAGTCATCAATAGAGATTGAGACAAAATTCATGCAACAATCCTCATGAATGTCAAGCTTCTTAAGTTGATTTGACCAACGAATTGAAGTTTGAAAAATTGGAGAATGTATCCATTTTTTTTCACTTCAACTGTTAAGTTGTGCTTAACTACACTCAGAGCTAGAAGTATCAACTTCATCCTCTGTCAAAGACTGCTCCTTTTTGGTTCAATAATCACCATATATGAAAAAATTTTAAGCAATTTTTATTTAAACAACAGCAACTGAGGGAGAATTTTAACTTCAATTAGCAAGAGAAAAAAATTCATATCAGTAAGACCAAACAAAAACTACCTTTTCATTTCCTTAGCTACATTTGCAGAATCACATAGGCGGAGTTTAGTAGGCCTCTCATTGCAAGGCCCTGTAATAAACAAGAAAAAGTTAAAGAACAATAACCAGAATCCTACTTATCCAGTTTCACAGTCCAGCACCCAGCTTATATTCACACAGTGACACACGAGACGAGAAACAAAAAGAACAGGGGCAATAGGAAACCGATGCAATGCAAGCAACCATCAACAAGTTTTTTTTTTATTTTTTAGAGAAAAAAAAAAAGAGTAGTAATATTTTAAAGAAGACACAAAGAGTTGCCACCCATTTGCAAGAGAAGCTTTACATAATACCAAAAGAAAGCACAAACAATCGAAGTCCCCTAAATCCTCTCCCAAATTAGGGGATGACAATTAAACAAAATACTCAAACTCTGGAGCCCATAATCTCTAATACTAACAAAAGGAGACATACTGCGATACAAAACCATCTTTGTCTTCTGTTTATAGACCACCCAAATGATAGCCATCAAATGGAAAATAACACTCTTCCTAGATTTCCAAGCCCTAACACCATCCTTTTTTTTAAAATAAAAAGTGTGGGATGTGCATTAACAAGGTACTAACGGGGGGGTACCACCCATTCACAACATATTTACAAAATTGTTAGAATGTCAATGACACACTTAAAATCTTCATCACAATCAATGTCATGCCCTAACAAATAAGCCCCAAAAAAATGAAACAACCTATCTTTTAACTTACTTATCTCTACCTCTTTACTCTCAAATGCTCTATTTTTTTTTAAATAAAAGAGAAAATATATTCACAAAGGTATCAATGGAGTACTATCCATATACAAAGTAATTACAAATCTATCAATTGGTCTAAGACAAGACCTAAATCTTCCCACTCTTTCACATTATGACCTAACAAAATAAAACTATCTCTAATGTTTACAATATCAGTTTCAATGCCCTCAAAAGTCCTCACATTTCTTTCCTTCCACATCACCCAAAAAATGGTAAGTGGAATAAAGAATCTATGTCTATACTTATTACAATAACCCGCCCAAACCCAAAGTTCCCCACTAACGTTACCGGTTCTAACCCAAAACAGACCCATGAGCCCAAAAACCATATAGCCCAAATGTTGTTAATCACAGGACAGCCCAATAATAAACGGTAACAAGATACCTCATCAGCTTTACAAAAATAACATCTATTCACCATAATGTTTCCTTTTCTTTTTAAAATATCTATAGTCAATATGCTGTTTCTCACCGCCTCCCAAATAAAAAACGCCACCCCAGGAGGCGCTTTCGCTTTCCATATAAGCTTGAAAGGTGCTGTCACGTTCTGAACATCACTCTTTTTGCTCAAGCTGCAGTATAACGACTTGACCGAAAAATCCCCATTCGTATTCAGCTTCTAAATCCTCTCATCATTATTTCCGTTCAGCTAAATTTTATTTAAACAGAACAATAGGTTGCTGTATTCCTCAATCACCAAATCTTGTAGATTCCTTCTAACTTTAACACACCATGTTCTATAACCCTCACCATCCCCAAAAAACTTCTCCACCCTCGCCTCCTTATCACTAGCAATCACAAAAATCCCAGGAAATCTGTCTTTAGGTTTAAACTCCCCCGCCCACTCATCATGCCAGAAATTAATCTCCTCCCCCTTCCCCACTTTCCACCCAACACACCTCATAAAATTTTTCCTGCCATCCCTTATTCTTCTCCACAGACTCTTGCCCTGCGGTTTAAACCTCTCTCTTCTCCCCCTCTCTTTCTCCCAATCCCCCCACCTCGCCACAATCACCCTCCTCCACAACCTGTCCTTCTCGCTGAGAAATCTCCATAACCACTTCCCTTGAAGAGCTTTGTTCACATCCATAATGGATCTTAGTCCCAAGCCCCCCCCTTCCCCCCTCCTTTCTTAACCTCCTTCCCATCTAACAAGATGATATTTTCTGTCACCAACCTCATCACCCGTTAGAAATCTACTTTGGGATCTTTTCAAGTTTAATCGCGATGCT